AGCACAGTGGCGGTTGGATAATTGAAGGCGGATGTTGGGGGGCTAATGCGACATAGGCGAAGATTTCAAAATGGAAAAAAGACCTTTTCCATAAAACCAAGTTTAAAGAAAAATGTTCGATAATAGTTTTTTCTATAGAAAAGTTGTTCGATAACAACTTTTTCTATAAAAAAAGTTGTTCGATAACAACATTTTCTATAGAAAATTTGTTCGATAACAAGATTTTCTATAGAAAAGTTGTTCGATAACAACATTTTCTATAGAAATGTTGTTCGATAACAACATTTCCTATAGAAATGTTGTTCGATAACAACATTTCCTATAGAAATGTTGTTCGATAACAACATTTCCTATAGAAATGTTGTTCGATAACAACATTTCCTATAGAAATGTTGTTCGATAACAACATTTTCTATAGAAAAGTTGTTCGATAACAACATTTTCTATAGAAAACATTACCGATAACAACATTTTCTATAGAAAACATTACCGATAACAACATTTTCTATAGAAAACATTACCGATAACAACATTTTCTATAGAAAACATTACCGATAACAACATTTTCTATAGAAAACATTACCGATAACAACATTTTCTATAGAAAACATTACCGATAATAACATTTTCTATAGAAAACATTACCGATAACAACATTTTCTATAGAAAACATTACCGATAACAACATTTTCTATAGAAAACGTTACCGATAACAACATTTTCTATAGAAAACGTTACCGATAACAACATTTTCTATAGAAAACATTGCCGGTAACAACATTTTCTATAGAAAACATTGCCGGTAACAACATTTTCTATAGAAAACATTGCCGATAACAACATTTTCTATAGAAAACATTGCCGATAACAACATTTTCTATAGAAAACATTGCCGATAACAACATTTTCTATAGAAAACATTGCCGATAACAACATTTTCTATAGAAAACATTGCCGATAACAACATTTTCTATAGAAAACATTGCCGATAACAACATTTTCTATAGAAAACATTGCCGATAACAACATTTTCTATAGAAAACATTACCGATAACAACATTTTCTAAAGAAAACATTACCGATAACAACATTTTCTATAGAAAACATTACCGATAACAACATTTTCTATAGAAAACATTACCGATAACAACATTTTCTATAGAAAACATTACCGATAACAACATTTTCTATAGAAAACGTTACCGATAACAACATTTTCTATAGAAATCGTTACCGATAACAACATTTTCTATAGAAAACATTACCGATAACAACATTTTCTATAGAAAATGTTATCGATAGCAACATTTTCTATAGAAAATGTTATCGATAACAACATTTTCTATGGAAAACATTACCTATAACAACATTTTCTATAGAAAACGTTACCGATAACAAGATTTTCTATAGAAAACGATACCGATAACAACATTTTCTATAGAAAACTTGTCCAATAACAATATTTTCTATAGATAACTTTTCCGATAACAACATTTTCTATACAAAAGTTGTTCGATAACAACATTTTCCATGGAAAAGTTGTTCGATAACAACGATTTATATTGAAAACATGCTCGATAACTGTTCTTTCATGGGAAATTGTATTCTCCTGAAAGATTTGAAGGCTTATACGATTTCCTTTATAAATTATCGTTCATCGGAAATATTTTTCCCAAATCGAACATGAAATTCAATTAACCCAACTGACCAACATCGCCTCTCCCCCTCCTTTTCGCGAAAAAAAAAATTCCCAGAAAATTTAAAATTCAAAAATTCACATGTTCCACTTTTGGCTCCAAAGAAAATGAACTAACCCACCAACCGATCGACAGACAGACAGATAGACCAACCAACCTGTGAATGGCGTAGCTTTGCATAAATCTAACAAAAGATTAACATAACGTTTTTTTTCTTCCAAGCCATGTCTATAATGTTGTTGTAATTGCCTCTTTTTTGTTGTTGTGGTTACCGCTTTGTTTGGCTTTTTTACTTCAGCTTAACTTTTAAATACTCCAGCGCTAGAGTTGGGCAAAAAACTAAACGTTTAGTTTTAGCGGGAGAATGGCTTGCAAATAGAAGTGGTAACTTGTAAAACCAAAACAAAACAAACATCAGCAACAACAACATCTACAACAACAACAAAAATTGCAATATGCGCCAAAGTTATCTTTGATGTAAATTCCATTAATGGGTTAATTACCTGACAGCAGCCAACGGGCCTGATAGCCAAAGCGTCAGTCAGTCAGTCTGACAGACAGACAAGTGTTCGGTTGTGTGTCTTCTCAGGCAAATGGAGGGAACTCCATCAAATGTAAATACACATATGGAGATACATACTTTCATACATACACGTGAAACACGAGATATTCAACGTCTGAGTTGATGGCATCCAGGCAACAACACCACCACCAACTTTGTGAAATACATTTTTAAATTCGAAATTTATGTAAAAACCGCAAAATGTCGAATAAATCATAATTGCTGTAAGAGCTTTTAATTGAATTTTCTGGGATTACTTAATTTTTTTTATTGAAAATTTGTCAATTTGAAATAGTTATCTGTGACAACTTTTTTATTTTTGCAAATTATTTTCTACAGAAAATAGTTTGACAACCACATTTTCTATGAAGAAAGTAGATATATTGTTGTCGATAACACCATTTTCTGTATAAAAGTTTTCCGATAACAACATTTTATATAGAAAATGTTACAGAAATTTTACCGATAACAACATTTTCTATAGAAAACGTTACCGATAACAACATTTTCTACAGAAAATGTTACCGATAACAACATTTTCTACAGAAATTTTACCGATAACAACATTTTCTATAGAAAATGTTACGGATAACAACATTTTCTAAAGAAAAGAAGTTCGATAATCAAATTTTCTATAGAAATGTTGTCCGATAACAATATTTTCTACAGAAAAATTGTCCGATAACAACATTTTCTATAGAAAACGTTACCGATAACAAAATTTTCTATAGAAAACGTTACCGATAACAAAATTGTCTATAGAAAACGTTACCGATAACAACATTTTCTATAGAAAACGGTACCCATAACAACATTTTCTATAGAAAACATTACCGATAACAACATTTTCTGTAGAAAACGTGACCATTTTCTCTAGAAAACGTTACCGATAACAACATTTTCTATAAAAAAAGTTGTCGATAACAACTTTTTCTATAGAAATAGTTGTCGATAACAACTTTTTCTATAGAAATAGTTGTCGATAACAACTTTTTCTATAGAAATAGTTGTCGATAACAACTTTTTCTATAGAAATAGTTGTCGATAACAACTTTTTCTATAGAAATAGTTGTCGATAACAACTTTTTCTATAGAAATAGTTGTCGATAACAACTTTTTCTATAGAAATAGTTGTCGATAACAACTTTTTCTATAGAAATAGTTGTCGATAACAACTTTTTCTATAGAAATAGTTGTCGATAACAACTTTTTCTATAGAAATAGTTGTCGATAACAACTTTTTCTATAGAAATAGTTGTCGATAACAACTTTTTCTATAGAAATAGTTGTCGATAACAACTTTTTCTATAGAAATAGTTGTCGATAACAACTTTTTGTATAGAAATAGTTGTCGATAACAACTTTTTGTATAGAAATTGTTGTCGATAACAACTTTTTGTATAGAAATAGTTGTCGATAACAACTTTTTCTATAGAAATAGTTGTCGATAACAACTTTTTCTATAGAAATAGTTGTCGATAACAACTTTTTCTATAGAAATAGTTGTCGATAATAACATTTTATGTAGAAAAGGTTACCGATAATATCATTTTCTATTGTTGTCCGATAATTATGTTTTCTATATAAAAGTTGTCCGATAACAATATTTTCTAAAAATATTTGCCCGATAGCAATAATTTCTATAGAAATAGTTGTCGATGCCAACAATTTATATGTAAATAGTCATCGATAACAAAAAATTTTATGGAAACAGTTATCAAACAACTTTTTCTGTAGAAAAAGTTGTCGATAATAACTTTTTGTTTTGGAAATGGTTACCGATAACAAATTTCTACAAAAGCAGTTGTTCGATAACTTTTTTATTAGAAATTGCACACTCCTTCCCAAAATCGTTTTGCTTATTCAATCCCCAATTGACCCTAAAAACGAGTACGTGACAGTTTTGGGTTATGGGACTCTGGTTGCTGTTATGTCGACCCTCTCTCATTCTCTCCCTCCCTCTCTGCTTTGCTAATCTTTTGTGGGTGATCGACGCAATTCGGATGATTTGTTATATTTTGATTCGTTGCATTTGATTTCTTCACAAAAAAAAATCACTGAGAAAAAAATCGAAATGATTTTGTGCGACGACACCACATGGATGGAATCATAGATGGATCTGGGTTGGTTTGGTCGGTGGGTCGAACCGTATTTTTTGTTGTGGTTTGTTGTTGTTACTTTTTTTAGCCGTTTATAACTGTAATTTGCGTTTTATCGAAAACCTGGTTGTTTTGTTACCTTCTCCTCTTCTCCCCCTCCCCCTATATTTCATAGCTGGATTAGCGACGATGTTGTTGCTACATCGCCGTCGTCATCGTAATGCCGGACAACAAATCATGCGGTGCGACGCCACCATCACCGCCAGGCAGTGGCTTTCACAGAAATGAGGAAATCCAATCAGTTATTGTATTAACAAACTACAACAACAACAACTATTATTTAACATTTAAATTTTTAACAATATAGTAGAAAGATTAGAGTCGGTACAGATGAACTACATGTTGTAAGTGTTGTTGTTATTGTTGCAAAAATTAGCATGCATGCCTTTGTTGTGCAGCTCGTCCGAGAAGATGTTCCTGCTGCTACGTGCCAAGCGTTCTAATAAAACGGCTCAGCTATTTTACACGTCACGGATGATTTATTTGTTGTTCAGAATTTAAATATATCCGGCTTTTTTCAACACAATTTCCAACAACGATTAAATATCGAATGTTATCGGTTTTAAAAAGAAATTCAGAATTTTTTAAAAATTATACTTACAAAATTCGTTTAGATTCTGACAGATGCCATGAAAATTCGTCGAAAGAAACTGCAAAAAAAATGAGAAAAAAATTTAAACACCATGAATATTTATAAAAATTCCAATAAAAAAACTCAAAACCTGCAATTTCAATACTCAATTTGCAATAACTTATGTTTTATGTGAATTAAAAAGACGAAGATGAAAAGAAAGAGGCCAACGATTGGGTCAACAGCTTCCACACAAAAGAGTATCAGCCGCTAACTGTGGCGTCACCTGGCTTTTGATTAACATAATGCCAACAACGACAGCAACAACACAAATGTGTCACCCGCCAGCAAATGTGCCAAACGGGGAATTTGAACTTCAAAAAATAAAAAAGACAATAAAAATGAAGAAATTCCTTTGATGCCGCAAAACAATCAAAACAAAAGATTAGAAAAACAAAAACGATAATCAGCAATAATATGCAAATTTACTTGCCAAAGACGACGGATTTTTTCGATTTTTTTTTTTTTTTGATTATCTAATGTTTGTTTAATTATTGATTTCGTCAAAATCAAAATGAATCAATCTTAAATTTCAAGCGTATAAATTAGGGAGATTGTAATCAATCACTGGCTCAGGATAATGATATTTTATTTACATGGAATTAAAAATTTACACACTTTTTTCACAAGAAAGTGTGATTGATTACAAATTTTAAGAAAGATAAATTGATCGATAACAATTTTATAAGAAAAAATCTATAAAAAAGTTTTTTATCTGTAACTTTTTGTATAGAAAATGTTGTTATCGGTAAGATATTCTATAGAAACTGTTGTTATCGGTAACATTTTTTATAGCAAACGTTATTATCGGCAACGTTTTCTTTGGAAAATGTTGTTATCGGTAACGTTTTCTAATGAAAATGTTGTTATCGGTAAAATTTTCCATAGAAAATGTTGTTATCGACAACTTTTTTTTTTATAGTAAACGTTGTTATCGCTAAAATTTTCCATTGAAAATTTTGTTATCGATAACTGTTTCTATAGAAAATGTTGTTATTGACAACTGTTTCTATAGAAAATGTTGTTATCGGACAATTTGCTATAGAGAATGTTGTTATCGGACAACTTTTCTACAGAAAATGTTGTTATCGGACAACTCTTCTATAGGAAATGTTGTCATTGGGCAATTCTTCTATAGAAATTGTTGTTATCGGAAAAATTTTCTACAGAAAATGTTGTTATCGGGAAACTTTTCTATAGAAAATGTTGTTATCGGGAAACTTTTCTATAGGAAATGTTACTGTTTCTGTAGAAAATATTGTTATCGGTAAGATTTTCTATAGAAAATGTTGTTTTCGGTAACGTTCTCTATAGAAAATGTTGTTATCGGTAAAGTTGTCTAGAGAAAATGTTGTTATCGGTAACGTTTTCCATAGAAAATATTGTTATCGGTAATGTTTTATATAGAAAATGTTGTTATCGATAACTTTTTCTGTAGAAAATATAGTTATCGATAACATTTTCCATAGCAAATGATGTTATTGGTAACATTTTCTATAGAAAATGTTGTTATCGACAACATTTTCTATAGAAAAAGTTGTTATCGACAACATTTTCTATGGAAGAATTTGTTATTGACAATTCATTTTACAGAAAACTTTATTATCGGCAAATTATTCAATATAAATTGTTGTTATCGGAAATTTTTTTTATAGAAAATGTTATTATCTGTGATATCTTCTACCGAAAATGTTGTTATCGGTAATATTTTCTATAGAAAATGTTGTTATCGGTCACATATACAATAGAAATTGTTGTTATCGACAACTTTTTCTATAGAAATAGTTATCGACAACTATTTCTATAGAAAAAGTTGTTATCGACAACTATTTCTATAGAAAAAGTTGTTATCGACAACTATTTCTATAGAAAAAGTTGTTATCGACAACTATTTCTATAGAAAAAGTTGTTATCGACAACTATTTCTATAGAAAAAGTTGTTATCGACAACTACTTCTATAGAAAAAGTTGTTATCGACAACTATTTCTATAGAAAAAGTTGTTATCGACAACTATTTCTATAGAAAAAGTTGTTATCGACAACTATTTCTATAGAAAAAGTTGTTATCGACCACTATTTCTATAGAAAAAGTTGTTATCGACCACTATTTCTATAGAAAAAGTTGTTATCGACAACTATTTCTATAGAAAAAGTTGTTATCGACAACTATTTCTATAGAAAAAGTTGTTATCGACAACTATTTCTATAGAAAAAGTTGTTATCGACAACTATTTCTATAGAAAAAGTTGTTATCGACAACTGTTTCTATAGAAAAAGTTGCTATCGACAACTGTTTCTATAGAAAAAGTTGCTATCGACAACTGTTTCTATAGAAAAAGTTGTTATCGACAACTGTTTCTATAGAAAAAGTTGTTATCGACAACATTTTCCATAGAAAAAGGTGTTATCGACAACATTTTCTATACAAAAAGGTGTTATCGACAACATTTTCTATACAAAAAGGTGTTATCGACAACATTATCTATAGAAAAAGTTGTTATTGACAACATTTTCTATAGAAAAAGTTGTTATTGACAACATTTTCTATAGAAAAAGTTGTTATTGACAACATTTTCTATAGAAAAAGTTGTTATCGACAACATTTTCTATAGAAAAAGTTGTTATCGACAACTATTTCTATAGAAAAAGTTGTTATCGACAACATTTTCTATAGAAAAAGTTGTTATCGACAACATTTTCTATACAAATTTTCTATAGAAAACGTTGTTATCGGTAACATTTTCTTTGGAAAATGTTGTTATCGGTAATATTTTCTGTAGCAAAGATTGTTATCGGTAATATTTTCTATAGAAATTGTTATTATCGGTAACGTTTTCAATAGGAAATTTTGTTATAGGTAACATTTTCCATAGATAATATTGTTATCGGTAATATTTTCTAGAGAATATTGTTATCGGTAACATTTTCTATAGAAAATTTTGTTATCGGTAACATTTTCCATAGAAAATGTTGTTATCGGAAACATTTTCTACAGAAAATGTTCTTATTGGTAACATTTTCCATCGAAAATTTCGTTATCGGCAACTATTTTTATAGAACATGTTGTTATCGTCCACTTTCTCTATGGAAAATCTTGTTATCGATTACATTTTCTGCAGAAAATTCTATTCTCAGCAATTTTCTATAGAAAATTGTGTTATCAACAATCTTTCCAATTGAAGCATATGTTATCGACCAACTTTTCTACTGAAAACAATTATTGCTGAGGACCTTTCATTACAAATATTTGTAATTCTCCATTATTTTTTTTTTTTTTTTTTGCAAACTTGTTTTGGCTATAATTTTTATGTTTCCTATTTTTAACATTTTAGTAGATACCATTTCCTAATGATTAAAATTGAATACTTAAAAGAAATTCTGTATTCAAAGTACGGTCCATAATAAATAAATTTTTGGGGAAGGAAATTGTTCTGCATAAAAAATCCATAAATTCAAGGATGCAAATTATTTGTAGAACAATTATGACCTTATCTATTTTTAATAGTAAAACAATTTCAAATGCTAAATTGCAAAAATTGTGGGAGAAACCCCACTTCAAATCCAGTAAATATTCTACACGCGTGCGCATTCCCACACTGGCAAACCAAATGGATATTAATCTTCAAAAACATTCCACAACAAAAAAAGAAAAAACAAAAAACAAAAACTATCGAATCGAAATCGTCAAATGTCAGAAAATAATATTCACATATTTTTTCGCTTTGCAAATTGTTTTCATTGTTGTTAAGGCTGTGATTGGTTTTGTTTTGAAAAATTGAAAAAAAATTGTAGCTTGAAGCCAAATGTTTTTTTTACAAAGTTGTTCAATATTAACCTGTCTTGGAAGTGAACAAAAAATAAATAAAAATAATAACTGCAAAATATGTTTCGCTAAATTTTAAGTTGTTCTGCTTATTTTTTTGTTTTAGTTTTTCAAGGTTTCCAAAGTATTGTGGCCCAGTATTTTTTTTTTTTTTTTGCTTTGTTGTGATTTTAAAATAAACATTAATTGAGCGTTTTTTTTTTTGATTTTTGCAAAAAATATTTGTAAAGAATAATTTGGAGGAGGAGGGGAATCACCCGTCAAATAAAAACACCTCAGAGTGGCAGACAGGTTTTGAGGTTTGAATTTGTTAAACCACAAAATGAGATTTTTTTGCAATGATTTTGGGTTGTAAAATAAAGCCTCACAACACTCCCTTGCTTAACCTCCCCCGCACAAAATAGGCCTTTCAATAAATTATTATTTATGGTCCATAACAATAATAATGGCATAATATTAATTAATATTCCAATTGCTTTTGTTGTTGTGGCCATTAAATATTTTAGATATTATTATCTGAGATAGGTGCGTGTTATTATTTTCTGTGATTGTTATTCGGACTGTCATGAAATGTTATTTAAATGTTTTATTAATTTAAATAACATAATTTAAATTTAAATCTAATAAACAATGTTGCCGCCGATAACAAATCAGCAGGGTATGAATGATAGCAATAAAATTATTTATTATTATTTTATTCATGTATAATTAATCATACAATAATATTACAAAAACAATATTCAAAAGCATGAGGTTGTTCGATAACAACATTTTCTATGGAAAAGTTGATCGATAACAACTTTTTTTATAGACAAGTTGTTCGATAACAACATTTTCTATAGACAAGTTGTTCGATAACAACATTCTCTATGGAAAAGTTGTTCGATAACAACATTTTCTATGGAAAAGTTGTTTGATGACAACATTTTCTATGGAAAAGTTGTTCGATAACAACGTTTTCTATAGAAAAGTTGTTCGATAACAACATTTTCTATAGAAAAGTTGTTCGATAACAACATTTTCTATAGAAAAGTTGTTCGATAACAACATTTTCTATAGAAAAGTTGTTCGATAACAACATTTTCTATAGAAAAGTTGTTCGATAACAGCATTTCCAATATAAAAAAATGTTGTACGATAACAAAATTTTCTATAGAAAATGTTACCGATAACAAAATTTTCTATAGAAAATGTT